GAGAGGTGACGCGCCGAGCGGAGCCGAAGCGAAGTTAGCCGAGTCCCAGCATCCTGGAATTTGTGCAACGCGAGTCAACAGCGGTGACGTCACCAAGAGATACCGTGGTTGCTAGGAAGCAGTGAACAACTCCGGACAGCGTTGCTAGCAACACGGCACCACACAACAATGGTGCCTATTACGTGGCTGTTTTCGGAGTTGTCCGGAACGAGGCTAGATACGGAGCAGCAGTGGTGGCTGAGATCTCGCCCTTGCAGTTGGGTGTGTTGTGGCCGTCGCCGGTCGCTGAGATGTTAGGGTCACTTTCGCTGTTTCGAGGCACCTTCTGGCGTACCCATCTTCTGATCCACTCGAAGCAGCCGCCGGTGGACCAGTCTAGGGAGTGTTCCGTGCTTTCTCCCGTCTTTTCTGGGTAACTCAGGTCATAAAAGTCATCGTCAATGTCCAGATCGTTTTTGAGGCACAAGCATGTTCGGACCCAACCAAAGCAGCCGCTGTTTGTCGAGTCTCGGGAAAATGTTGCGCTCTCTCGTATTTCGTCATAAGGAAAGCCGTTGTAACCTTCCGTTTCGGCTGGAAAACCAGCATGGATGCTCTCCGCCCCACGCTCCATATCGAAACCAGGAAGAGGTATGTTGCCAGACATTTCTTGGTTCGTTCACGTTGTTACGTATTAGCTATCTTTTAACGAATTTTAACGATGAAGGTTCTCCCAGTTCTGCTGATGTAAAATAGTGTGGAGCTTTAGATATTGTTTAACTCGCTTCGTAGGCTGCTACACTTTAACTGACGATGTTGGAAGTACCCAGCATGCAGCACTGGCATAAATGACAGAGGTCTGGAACAGGGACTACAGGTCAGCAAACCATTGGAGGACCCCACTACAAATGCCATCGGAGGGTGTAGATCAGGACAGCGATCGCACCTGGGAGTGAGAAGTGCTTTTAAGAATGAATTCTACGAGATTGTCGTCAGGAAGATCGCGAAACAAATCGCCGGATCTTCCGTCGGATTACGAGAAAAGAAGGAATGGACCCTGTGGAGGGGCCGACCACCTCCAAAACGAAAAAAGGAAGAGGCCCAAATAGGAGGAAGCGGTACTAGAAACAACAGCCTCCTTAATAAGAATGAAAGCGATGGATGAATGTGATCTTCTGGCGAGCTGAAAGGAAACCGCTCGAGACGAGCTTTGTCTTAAGAGGGGAGCGGATATAACGGACGAAGAATCGTCGCTGCAAGAGGAGTAGCCGACACAACAGGAGACACTGCTAGCACAGCTACGGGAAGGAAAAGTAACGGGGGTGCACCGTTAGGCTATTCTGGACGAGGAACCTTAAGGAGGGAGCAGTGTGACGTGTCGCGCTAGCTGCCCCCCCCCGAGAGGTGACGCGCCGAGCGGAGCCGAAGCGAAGTTAGCCGAGTCCCAGCATCCTGGAATTTGTGCAACGCGAGTCAACAGCGGTGACGTCACCAAGAGATACCGTGGTTGCTAGGAAGCAGTGAACAACTCCGGACAGCGTTGCTAGCAACACGGCACCACACAACAATGGTGCGTATTACGTGGCTGTTTTCGGAGTTGTCCGGAACGAGGCTAGATACGGAGCAGCAGTGGTGGCTGAGATCTCGCCCTTGCAGTTGGGTGTGTTGTGGCCGTCGCCGGTCGCTGAGATGTTAGGGTCACTTTCGCTGTTTCGAGGCACCTTCTGGCGTACCCATCTTCTGATCCACTCGAAGCAGCCGCCGGTGGACCAGTCTCGGGAGTGTTCCGTGCTTTCTCCCGTCTTTTCTGGGTAACTCAGGTCATAAAAGTCATCGTCAATGTCCAGATCGTTTTTGAGGCACAAGCATGTTCGGACCCAACCAAAGCAGCCGCTGTTTGTCGAGTCTCGGGAAAATGTTGCGCTCTCTCGTATTTCGTCATAAGGAAAGCCGTTGTAACCTTCCGTTTCGGCTGGAAAACCAGCATGGATGCTCTCCGCCCCACGCTCCATATCGAAACCAGGAAGAGGTATGTTGCCAGACATTTCTTGGTTCGTTCACGTTGTTACGTATTAGCTATCTTTTAACGAATTTTAACGATGAAGGTTCTCCCAGTTCTGCTGATGTAAAATAGTATGGAGCTTTAGATATTGTTTAACTCGCTTCGTAGGCTGCTACACTTTAACTGACGATGTTGGAAGTACCCAGCATGCAGCACTGGCATAAAGGACAGAGGTCTGGAACAGGGACTACAGGTCAGCAAACCATTGGAGGACCCCACTACGAATGCCATCGGAGGGTGTAGATCAGGACAGCGATCGCACCTGGGAGGGAGAAGTACTTGTAAGAATGAATTCTACGAGATTGTCGTCAGGAAGATCGCGAAGCAAATAGCCGGATCTTCCGTCGGATTACGAGAAAAGAAGGAATGGACCCTGTGGAGGGGCCGACCACCTCCAAAACGAAAAAAGGAAGAGGCCCAAATAGGAGGAAGCGGTACTAGAAACAACAGCCTCCTTAATAAGAATGAAAGCGATGGATGAATGTGATCTTCTGGCGAGCTGAAAGGAAACCGCTCGAGACGAGCTTTGTCTTAAGAGGGGAGCGGATATAACGGACGAAGAATCGTCGCTGCAAGAGGAGTAGCCGACACAACAGGAGACACTGCTAGCACAGCTACGGGAAGGAAAAGTAACGGGGGTGCACCGTTAGGCTATTCTGGAC